GCATAGACACCCCACCAGGCGGCCGAGCTATTGTTATACACAATCTAAACCCTAAACCCTAAACCCTAAATATATATACAATTTAATTTTTTTTTTATATTATATTATTTTTAATGATACTTATTTATTATGTGGGTTTTTATAAGGAGGATAATAAGAGTAGCATCGACGACACATACACTGAAGCATAATTTTTTTTTCTATCACCACAAGTTTAACCTGCTGTATTATAAAAATATCTTTCTTTGTAAAAGAATTTCACGTTGTTGTTTCTGCTTTTCTCGTTAGTTTTACTTCATATGTGAGAGGACCATTGGTCTTGCACACAGATACAGTTGAGCTAATAGAAAAGAGCGGGAAGGACCATTGGTCTTCCACACAATTAGAGGTGAGGTAATACAAGCAATATGAAATGACCATTGGTACTCTAGACAGTTAAAGGTGAGCTAATAGAAACAGCTGAAGTGACCATTGGTCCTGCACACAGTAAACTAAACTATGCGGGAATAAACAAGAGGACCACTGGTTCTGCACGAAGTTAAAGGTAATATAATAGAATTCCGCAATATAACTAGAAAAAGAAAAAGGAGAAAAGCAGAGTAAAAAATTTTAATAGAGAAGAAACTATACAAAGAATACCCTGGATCAATGCCTGTGTATAGTGGCATTCATTACTATTTTCTATTTCTCTATTTAACTGAATTTCACGTATTGTTCTATTGACTTTTCACTTAATATTTATATTTAAAAAGTAAACAAACAAATACAAGAAAGGTATCATCAGCACCCAGCAACACGACTGCTAGCTGTGTAGTAAGCTGCATTGTTATATATACCCTGGGGAGCCCAGCAGCAGTCTTCGTCATATAAATATATACATTGAGACGAAATAGCTTTAAAAATAAATTTATTTATCCTTTTTGCATTCATTTAGAATATAATATTTCATGATATTCATACAGATACAAGTATGGTCTGGCCTGGCTATGGTTATTAGCCGCAAGAACAGAGAGAGCGATCTACACAGATCAGCCCCATATTATATGAA